TGTATTTTTTCTAAAATATTTCTGCTTCGTTGTGAACAATTTTTTTATTGCTTTCTAAAACATTTTTTAGTACAAAATTATTTTAAGAGGTAATAAGAAAGCCATCTCAAATAAATGTTTCGTTTGGGACGACTTTCTTCCTACTTCTTAAAACAACTTTTTATTACAAAAATTAAATTTTTGTACAAAAAAGTTGCTTTAAGAAACATTTAAAAAGCCGTCCTAAACGAAGCCGAAGTCTTAATGAATCGCCAAACTATTATTTAAATTATTTAAATTCATTTATAAGTAAATTTTGTATCTTAAGCAATTGAGTTCTTGATTGTAATTACTTGTCAATATGTAAGTGTTTTCCTCGCCTCAATATACATGTCAACTCCATCGCCGGTCCACTTGCGAAGGTATAAATTTCTAACTTAAATCCTTCTCACGACGCTTGCGACGAGCCGGCAAACCTCCCTATGCGCTCACGTAGCATTTGGGGAGGGAAATCGGTGCGACGCTTGCGACGAGGTGGGTAATCTTCAGAGCGCTCATGTAGCGTGAGGGGGACGAAAAATAAGTACCTGTACGCTGCTCTGTACCTGGGGGAAAGCAAATTGTGATCTTTTAAACAGATACCGAATACCCCTAAGCGCTCATGTAGCGTCGCGGGGATTAAAGAAAATATAGCTGCGGTGTCACCCGACATCTACCTGAAGCGCTTATGTAGCATGGAGGAGAATGCTACCTCTTGATTTTTCTCCTAAGCGGGGGAGATGCCAGGAGACTGCTAAAATTTGGACTGAATATACAATGATTTGCATCAATTTTGGTTCTATTTATCTTACGTAAAACAGAGGGGAATCGAGAGCTGCGTGGTGGTCGATGAAGAGTACAAATGGCGATGTGAACTGGAATAAAAGAAACTATAAGCACTAAAGAACTAAACATAAAGGTTCCAGCCTGCATTACCTTGTGATAATTTAATTAAGTTGTTATAGATAAAATTAAACGATTAAAATATAATTAGAGAATGAGATAATAGTGATTAAAAATAATTATATATAATTAGCAGCATTTCACGTACGGAAGAGAAATTCCTACAGCTTATGAAGTTTAATCATCATATTATATTATATGAAGCACTATAATTATATACGATCGTTTTTTGTTTATTGATATTCCCTTATTCTAGTTTAGGATCTAAGGTTGGTAATTTTTGATTGAGATTAGTGCATATGAAATGTTTGAGTGTAAAAGAAAATGCATAAATTTTTTTTTTTTTTTTTGCTTCAAGTAAAATAAATGTAATGTAAAGTTAAATAATTATGGCGGCTAGACGACTATGATGATGGTGGGCGGGTGAGGGATTTGCTTGCGATAGTAATGGCTAGCTGTGGGTCGTAGTCGATAGTGGCCGTTGACGACAAGCTATGGTAGTCGATGGTGGAGGTGACTGGTTGTTACGATGATTGGTCAAGATATAAAAAACAGTAGCCAAATAAAAATTATAATTACAATCCGAAAAGTAAATCAGTAAAAAATTTGTTCAATACGAAAACAAAAAGCTTCATTTGATACACCGCTGCTTTTCCATTATTTAAAAAAAATATTATTCTAAAAAGTATTTTAATAAATAGTAAGAAAATAATTTCAAATAAATACTAAATAAACAAAATTTAACTATTACCGAGCCCTTATTCATTACGACATTCAAGTCAACACCTTTGTGCTAGAGTAACATATTGAGTGACAATCGGCACTTTGTAGGAAATTACCTTAGTTGCTCTCTCTCTCTCTCTCTCTCCTGTTTTTATTGTAATTTACATCAGTTGTTACTGGTTGACTTTAAATATATTTATTCTACTTTTCTTCAGCTTTCTATAATCCCATCACTGATTGACTTTTTAAATAACTGTAGTCACCAATCATTTTTTTTTTATTTTTTTTTGTTTAACGTCAAAAAAATATTATCGGTAGCTCTCTGAGAATTTCTTTTTATTTTTCACACGTCTGATCTTTCTATTATCTATAAGGGAAAATTTTAAGACTAAGCATGATTATAAATTATATTAAGAGCTTAAGCATGTTTAAAAAAAAATTTTAAAAAAAAAGGCAAAGTCGCCCGTTAAATGGCAGGAACCTTATGCTTTGACTAGAATGTCAAGAATCCGACGGCGTGATGATTGGACTGAGAATCTAAGATTAAATCTCCCGTTTAACGGGCGATTTATAGTCGCACATTTAACGGGCGACTTTATTGCTAATACTTTATATTCCCAAAATCCTTCCCGATCTCATTTCGTCGGAAGTTGAGGATGATGAAGTTTGTGAAGTTCTGTATGCACAAGCTGCAACAGAATTTCTATAATGTACGTTTGATGTCGAAGAGATTGAGGTGTTAGAGATATATACATACTAACCTCCAAATTTACAAAGATATGAACTTCATGCCCAGCAGAAAGGATGAATTTGGTCGCTGGTCCTTCAAGGGTAGAACGCAGTAGAAGAGTTACTGTACTAGTAAGTTCCCAATATCACATATTACTAATTATTTAGTACAATTTTTTTTCTTTATTCATTGTAAAATAATCATATTCATCTCAATGTAGTTATACAGAGAATCAGGAAACACAGGTACCATCCACTTCCTTTACACAATCAAGTTCCTCCTTCGTGATCATTGCAATTAGTAAAAGTGATGTATGTGTGCTATTATCTATTATAATGGTTGATGTAAGCTAACATGCTAAACCCTATATGGAACAACTACATTATGTTATAAATTTTGCCATAACTTGTTGAAATTTTTTTAGAATAGTTAAAATTGGATCAGAAATTTATATATATATTTTTAATTGATATGGAGTAAGTGCCCGTTTAACCGGTCGACCTTAATGCCCAAATAAAAAAATTCTGAGCTAAGTCGCGCCGTGTAACGCGGCGACTTATGCCCAGAATTCCTGCTACTATTATGGGTGTCTGTTAGACGATAGAGTTTAGGGTTAAGGTAAGGCTTAATTTGTTTCATAAAATTAATTGTGTTTTAATTATTTTGATATATTATGTAAACACAATGACGTAAGAGAAAAACGCGAAAAAACATACCTACTAAATTAGTCTGAAGATCAATTGTAGTGAACCTATTTGATAGTAATATTATTTGCGGGTTTGGATGAGATTTTGTATAGCCAAAATTAAACTTTATAAACTTGGCTAGTTTTTGGCGATAGTTTGTTGTTGAA